GCATGAGCCGGCCCGCCTCCCAGCCCCACCGGCGTCCGCAGCCATGGGAGCCCAGCAGAGCGTCAATGCCGGCAAAGGTCCGCGCCCCCTCCCCTCCCCTCGCGCGCCTAGCTCGATCCCTACCTCGCCCGCTCCGCCGTTTTGGCGTTCCGCGACTGCGCGTGGCTAACGTGTTTGCCTGAATGCCGCAGCCAAGGTGGATTTGCAGGTCGACCTCACCCACATGCTCTGCGAGGCGCTCCTGCTGCCGCCCCTGAGGTGCTCGCCCTTTTGCCTCCACGACCGATTGGCCGGCCGCGGTCGGGCCGCACGCCGCGGTTTTTTGTTTACGGACCTTGGATTGCTGACTGTGTTGTTTTCTTGGTCTGTTTTTCCTTTCAGCAGCTCCAGCGCCACCATCTCGCAAATCGTCGGAAGGTGGGGTTGCGTGTCCTGATTCCGCTGCTAGTAAAGTTTATGTTCATATGCGTCACAGAATTCATTCAGGCAGGCATAGTTGGCTGATTTGTGCGCGTCCATGTGTGCGTGCACGCGTCGGTGTATTTCACTTCACACGCGTCGCAGAATACCCGTCTGGATTTACGAATGATTGCTCTCTGTTTAAACTTTGTACCACTTTGTTCCGAGTTCTGAAGTTTTACCATCTTGTTCTGAGTTCCAAAGCTGTACCATTTTGTTCCGAGTTCTGAAGCTGTGTCATTTTGTTCCGAGTTCTGAAGTTGTACCATTTTGTTCTGAGTTGTGAAGTTTGGTCTGCAGGATCTCCCTCAAACACCCAAGCCTATTTGGGAGGAGTGAGAAGTTGGACGTGATTCTGGATAAGGGTGTCAATGACTCTAATGTTGTTGTTGCCTTTAGACGCCCAAGGCCCGAATGGTTATCGCAGCAGTCGTTTGTCATTCAGGTCTGCATTCTGTCTGATTGTATCTCGGCTTCTTAATTGAGCCTTCTGTCTGAAATTGAATATATATGCTGCAGTGCTATAGCAGAAACATGGTATAGTGTTTTAAATTGTTGCTAAGCAATTTATACTTCATTGATCTTGTTAACAGTACTCATTTCTCATTTTCATTGGTATTCTAATTCTCTGGTGTTCTCTGCACTAGAAATGAGTAGAAGAGATGTAGTAGAGTGATAGTTGGCCCTGTTAACATCTCTTCTATAGTAGATGTAGCAGTAGAGTGGTGGATACAATATCATGAGAAATAGGAAAATTTTAAACTCAAACACCAGATGGCATGTTTAACATTTAACATGACTAATCACTGTAAACAACGTAAGGCTCTCAAGTTAATTTTATTTTCCTGAGCACAGAGAGATACCCTGTCTTCTTTGATCAAAATCAAAACAGGGTCTCGAGTTACCCAAAAACCATTGAAAAACCTGAAACAAAGCATACTAAGTACAACAGCACACCAGTATACACTGAGATTTAGACAAATGTTTGGCAGAAAGGAGTAAAAACACACCTTCTGCAGCACACATTCTCACTATCATTGTTGTGTGATGGGCCTGCAACTCAACTACTCAATGCTGTCTGTTGTTCCTGATTGGAATGGAGAATCAATTATTAGGCCTCTCTAGTTGCTGTGTTGGTTATGGACCTGCCCTACTTTACTTGTTGCCGGACCATTACAATCCCTTTTGCTTGCAACTGACCTGAGGTAGCCGCCCTGGCATGCTGGGGCATCGGCTCCACCAGTGTCTGAATCTGTAATCGAAGTATTAAGCAGAAGACGTTATTCGCCGTAGTAATTCTAGCAATTAATGGTTCCATTATCTTGCAAGTTGATTGGTTTGGTGACCACCTTATCCTAGAACGGGTTTGCCCATCATAAGACCGTCCCATGACTGTTGGTGTTGGTGTGAGGACACCATCCCTCATCTTGTCTTAATTTTGTGCTTGTGAGGGATAAGGTGATAATGGACCAATCTATTCCGCCCTTCAAACAAAACAAGTGGATTACGTTTGGAATTAGGATTGGATGTTGCTCGTACCATACACTTGGCTTGATCTTTGTCATATTACTTCCATTATGAATGGTTACCTTTCATGCAAGTTGATCGGGTAATTATTTTTATGAAGTATGTAAGTATGAACTTGTGAAAAGTGGTTAGGCGTTGTATGCTGTCTTTTCTGTTCACACACCTTTTCTTGTTTGCGTGCTGGTTTGAGCAATCAGCACTCGATGACACCAGAAATTGCGGTGCATGGTTTTCCGGCTGACAACTTCACACGGTCAGGGAGCAGAGGGGTGAATCTAAGCCGGTTGTCGCTTGGGGTGGAGATTAATGAACCGACAACATCAAAATGGACTTCTGGAACCAGTGTTAAGTTTGAGGTGAGCATCTAGTCAAATCCAGTTGTTTGCATCATCTTCATGCTGTACAACTTCTCTTATCAGATGTCCTTTCCCTCCAGCATATCCGTCCTGTTAATAATGATGGGCGCTCAATAGCTAGGGACCACGAAGGCTTTCCCCTAACATGCAGGTGATAACAGTATTTCTTTGGATGTGCCCTTTGATACAATAAAAAGAAGTCTCATTGTTTAATGTTCTTTTATGATGCAGTGGTAACCTCCATGACAACATGATTATCTTGAAGCAAGAGTCTGGTTATGCGGATGTTAAAGATAATAGCTTCTTAAGAGTAAGTTTGTGTTTATTTCATCTCCATCTTTCCTTGACTTGACTGTAACTCCATCTTATATAGTTCCCAATGACAGGTTAATTTTCAAATGGAACAAGGATTGCCACTTGTACCAAAATCACTAACTTTTAACAGAGTTAAATGTGCTGTTTCGAAAGGCATTAAACTGGGGCCAACATTTTTGGTTACTAGGTACTGCATCTGCCTACTGTACTGCAGCAACACTCTTCTATGAAAGTTAATTAATCTCTTCCTATGCTGCAGCTTGACAGGCGGTTCCATTGTGGGCGACATGGCACCGTATCAAGCATTTGCAATAGGTGGACTTGGTAGCGTCCGGGGTTATGGCGAGGGTGCAGTTGGTTCAGGAAGACTGTGCCTAATTGGTAACTGCGAATACACGGTTCCTTTGGTATGTAAATAACAAGCCATATATATTATATAATCCCCCAAACAGTTTATGTAGTCCGTAAATCAAACTTGGTAATCCAAGAACCAGAAGTAACTAGAAGTTGCATCCAAACATGAAATGGATAAAAAAATGCAATCAATTAGATGCGTACATATTTACTTGGACTCTTTTTTTTGCCATCATTATTAATTTGTATGCTTTATGCAATATTCACCTTTTTTTTCTTTCTCTTTTACCCATTGTGGTCTTTTACATTTTCTCCTGTTGCATATATGGGTCAAATTTATGGGATGATAGGTGGTGTCTGCATGCAAGAGGAATATACCAAATACTGCAAAGGACTGCGATGAGGAATTGATAGTCGAAGGATAGAATTTTAGGGTTGAAAGTTCAGAAGTTAGCATAAATGGGAATTTCTCTCTTCTAATAAACCTGCTTAATCTTGATACTGGAAGAAAGATAAATTCAAACTATATTAGCGGAATATAACATGAAGGCTTGCAATTGGTTCTTCTTCGAGAATCAGCAAGTCCCGTCTCTCTAAAACAAATTAATACTGTACTAATTTTGGTGCTTACTAGATGACTTTATCCATTTTATATTTGTATGGTAGTTGACCGGTGCAAGTTTTATCAGATCTGCATAAATGGAACCAAAATTCTGAAGAAATCATGTGGCCATATCATTTTCAGCCTTTTAAATGCAACTAGCACAATAAGGACATTTCTTGTGGTTACTTAATTTGTGCTAGAGTTTTGCTGGATAGAGTTACACACTAATCAGTTCATTAATATTAAGATATTGCATAGCGAACATACCACTCATGACTGGAACTACTGTATGAGAATACACAATTTTCATTGAATTTACACATGCTTTGGCAAACTCTAGCTAGACTGCCAGGCAAAAAGAATTGTCCTGGGATTGTTCTAGTAGAAAGTGAACTCACCGTTGGTGCTGTCACTTATTTGACTATTAAAGCATCCTCCACCAATGGAAATCCGTACTGGTTGATATTAGGTTTATCTTCTTGTGGTAGTCTTGTCCATTTGGATTATCAATCAAATACTGAAACGTCTGTTTCTGTGAAGGCAAAGAATCTCGAAGGTTCTCTTTTCATGGACTGCGGTAGTGATTTAGGATCTGCTCGTCATGTTCCTGGTAAGGGCTTCGCTTCATCTTTGCATACTTGAGTACTTAGTAATTTCTATTTGCCTTTTTTTCAAAATAAAATAAAAATCTAATTGCAACTAGAAGAAAATGAGGCTGATATACTTAAGCTTTTCCGATGCTTTTAAAATTGAACAGTGTAATTCATAAAGTAAAAATGAGGGGCTTGATTTACAGTTGCTCGCTACTCAGCTACACTAAATTTGTGCAGTTTTGTGTCTGTGTGGAAAGCAAGCACGCCTTTCTCAAACAGTTAGAGCTTACTATTCAATTGGTTTGGACTTACAAATTCAGTAGTACAGTAGAAGCTTAAATAATAAAAAATTCTGGCATTTTGTATGGGATAACCAAGATCAAGATGTCTCTGCGGTGGAAAATCATGCAAATATCATTGACGTGATGTATCAACCAATGAAGATCGAACTAAGTAAATCAACACATCACCTGATTTGACTGAAGGAGTTAAGCTTATCAACATGAGGACAATGCAATTGACATCAGCATACTGTACCATAGAGCACACATTGGACAAGAGTTATAGTAGAGTCCTGAGTCCTCAAACATCCTTTTGTTTTATGCCCACTCCTGGTTATGAAACATTTAGTGCAACATATCAATGCTGAGTTGCATTTGATGTTTCTTTTCTTCATATCTCAGTATGATAGTATTTCCTTGACCATACTCGTTCCGTCCTGCTGTGATTTTTTGTTCAATGATCATTCATCATTCACCAAATGATGGCAGGCAATCCGGCTCTTCGGCAAGGGAAACCGGGATTCGGTGTCGGGTTTGGATACGGCGTCCACTTCAACACGGACATAGGCCAAATCCGAGTCGACTACGCCATGAACGCCTTCAGTCGCAAGACCTTCTACTTCAGCATCAACACTGGCGGTGCTGGCTCATAGATCATCAAGAACATACCTGACATAGCATAGAGTTACAAGCCATGACATGCGAGCACCTCTCCGCCAACATGCCTCGGCGCAACTGTCCAAGGCATCCGAGGGTTGTACAGTCGAGGTTGTTGTTATCTTCTGCTGGATGCTGAACGGACAGTTCATGAGAATGTGAGATGACATGTGTAGAGTGCAAAGCTGTGGCCTGCGGAGCTTTGGCTGAAGGTGCCCCATACCGTCTTATTCTTTGCTAGTGGGATAAAATGCATCATCATCCATCGGAGATGCTCAAGCTGATCGAGAATAATATTTATTTTTTATTCTTTATTTTTCTTGTATATTTTTCATGAACTGTACAGCGTTAGGAGGAGCTGTCTGATTTGCCGCCACAGTTTTCTGGCCCAATGTTGTCGCAATCATCGGTAATTTGACCTGCCTTGTGGTTGGGATGCGCTGATGTTGCTACACACATTTCACCAACCAACCAAGCGACGGCAGGTCTTCACCGGTGCACTGCTCGCGCCGAAAGGGAAAGAGATATTGTGACGATTGTCCTATTTTTCCAAGTTGATCGCCGTCCACAGGAGAGGTTGCACGTTTAATTTCTCGGCCTGAAAGCACCAGCTTCGCTTCACCGCCACATAAACTGGTCTCCAGTTTGCAATTTGCTGACCCTGAATTTTGAAAATGTATACGCATCGTAGCAAGGTAGTCCAAAAAAATTATACGAGGCAATCGAGACTGAAAATGGTGCACTCGGCTTCGGTTTATGCCAATGTTTCATGATAATCTTCTTTTCTGAAAACTTGACCTTGCAATTTAGTAGTACTACACAGAAGTAAATTTGCTATCACTAGTGGTAATTTAGCTTGTACTAGTAGAGTACCTCTTAATTTACACAAGTCATGACTCATGAGCTATTGGAACCAGTCGCATGACCAAACCCGAATCTTTTGTAGGTAGAGGGGATCTCTGAACATCGCTTAATTTCTCAGTCTGAAAGCACCGCCTTCTCTTCACTGCCACACCACGTTGTTCCCAGTTTCCAACTTGCTGACTCTGAATTTCCAAATACGCACACCTCGTGGTGAGGTAGCTCAGGTGGATCACCAATATTATACGAGGCAATCGAGATAGAAGACAATGCAGTCGGCTCTGGTTTATAGCATCGTTTTAGGATGAATTGCAGTCAATTTTTTGAAAATTTTACCACATTAGAGTAAATTCAGCGCGCGCGGTTACGCTTTGCACCAGATATATCGCTTAATTGCAGTAGTCATGAGCGATGGATCCGAATCTTCAGTAGGTATAGAAGACTTTCATAACACCCTGTTTAACAATTCCAGATAGTACTTTTATAATTATATCAAAACTAATGTAATATTCAAACAGTGCAGTGCAGTGGAGATCTTGTCCATGTTCACTCAAAGCTACAAGCTCGATCCAATCCAAGCTTTGCTTGCCAGGCAACAATGCCAGCCAGGAGTCCGTCCGCGAGATGCGCATCACCCACCCTGCCTGCCTGCGCAGACCAATGGAGGGGGACAGAGGACCAGGCAACCACGGGGAGCCTAGTGGCTACCACTACACCGGCGAGGTGGCCTCGAGGAGCAGCTCCTCGCCGAGGGCGCCGTCGAGCTCGTCCCCGGTGATGCGGCCGAGCACGAGCACGATCCCCATGGCGAAGGCGGCGTCGAAGCCGGCGCGCACCCACAGCACGAACACGTCGCGGCCGAGCACCACGTGCGCGCCCTCGTCCACCTTCCTGCGCACCTCCGCCACCACCGTCTCCTGGTCCTCCCCCTCCTCCACCTCGCCCGCGCCGCCCGAGGAGGCCACCGCCACCACGCGGCAGCACCGCCTGGGGAAGGACCCGTCGACGCGGAACTCCTTGGCGGCGGGGGAGTGGGCGGGGGCGAGGAGGTCGACGAGGACCCCGGCCCCGGCGCCGAGGATGGAGGAGCGGCGCGCGGAGAAGAGCGGCTTGGCGCCGCCCGCGGCCCCCCCGTCGCCCAGGAAGCCGTCCCAGCGGTGGTGCAGGCTGGGGCGGCGCCTGCGGACGGTGAGCACGGGGTCCCCCGCGGCGCCCAGCAGCGCCAGGTCCCCCGCCGCCGCGCCCCCGCCGCAGGCGCCTCCCCGGCCGTACGTCTCGAGGCGGAAGGCCAGCGCGCCCGTGCGGTGGTCGTAGGCCTCCAGCCCGTCCCCCGGGGAGAAGAGCGTGGTCTTGCGCACCGTCAGCTCCCTGTCCTCCGCCTCGCAGTGCTCCTCCCCCACCACCACCGTCGCCGCCGGCGCCGGCGCCTCTCCCCCCTTCATACCTCTCTCGCGCGCGCTCGGACTAGTCTGGCTCTCTCTGCTCTCGTCTGTGTCGCCGCGCGTAGAACGAGGTGGTAAATAGCGTGGGCGGTGGGGCGGGTCGGCTAGCTTTTCTTTCTTTCTCTCGGTGGGTTCCGGGTTCGTGGGGCCGGGTCAGCACCGGGCCCACCCCACGAGCGGGTACACAGGGAGGTGGTGGCGATGGACGGCTCAACATGGCAACGAGTACCCGCTACCTGCGAACCCGACAGATATAAAAACCCTAATAGAATAAGGATATGAGAAATTAAAACACCTATGGGTTTTTAAATGAGAAAAATCATACCTAATGGGTTAGGCGGGTACGGGTATGGGAAGGCAATACCCATACATGCAAACCCTCAAACCCGTATAATAATAACCATATCAAATAGGTCTCATGTGTCATTGACTTAGATAAAAAAAGCCTAAGCTGCCACTGGACCCAACCACGCCCCGCCCCCTCCAAATTCCGGATCCAAAATTGCGCCCCACCCCCTTGCACCTCATACACACTATCAAATCGCACCCACTTGCTAACCCTAGGCGGTTGAACCTCACACACACCATCAAATCGCGCCCACTTGCTAACGCTAGGCGGTCGGCGCCGTGCTGCCGCCAAGCCACCGCCGCTGCGTGCATGAAAGCAACCAGCCGCCTCCGGCCTGCTCCTTCTCCTGATCTCCTAGATGGGTATATGTGATGGAATATTGTATGTATGTGTTGAGATGCTGTCAATATGTGTCAAAATACGAAAATGTAAATGCTCAAACATACACACCTAGCTGGGTAGTTTTTACCCACGGGTACGCATACGGGAACAGTTTGAAACCCGGTGCGTGGGTACAGGTACGGGTATGGGTGAATTTTTTTGAGATGGGTGCAGATATGGGCACGTAATATCCATACCCAAATCCTGCGGATGCCATGTTGATGGACGGCGATGGACAGGGATTGGGTCTCGCCGTGCGCCCGGGGGCGGTGGGCAAGTTCGTTATCGAAGGCAGCTTTGGCCTGTTTGGAAGGGGGAAAGGGACCGGACTGAGACCGCGGGGGAAAGCAAAGGAATAAGAGGAATAATGGGCTGGGCACGGTCGGCGGGGGATGCTGGAAGATAACGTAATTAGGAGGCGATTGCGATCGTAAACGAACCAGCTCGAGCGCGATCGTGGTTGGATTGGATGGGAGTTCGGTTGGAATGTTTGTTTGTGTTTCTCCTCCGTACCGTACCGTATCGTGCAAGGGTGCTGGGAGGAGCAAGAGGTTCAGGTCTTTTTTTTTTCTTTGAGGTAAAGCGAGAGGTTCAGATAAGATTGTTTAGTATGGCGGGATGAGATTACATATCGGCCTGGGCTGCGAGTGGGGTTTGTCGGTGACAGGAAGGACGTGTTTGATTGCCTGCATACATCTTAATTAAGCCCGTACGAAAAGAATCCAGCCTGCTTGGTTGTCTGTATGCATTGTTAGACCTACATCGCACATTTTTTAAAGCATCTTTGGGCCTGGCACGCTGGAAACGTTCACATCGGCAGTTTCTTGCGAGCCAAGCGGAGGTGAGCGCAGGCGAGCGGGCCCTTGCACAAGCGGAGACGCGAGGGATGCGAGGTGATTAGGTGAAGTCTTCTTGAACCTCCGGTAAACTTCTCTCTAATCTCCTTTCCTCCTTGTCTCTTTGACCTACACAACGGTGCTTCGATTTGAGATAAGCTCTACACGAAAAAAATGCATTTCGATGCTATGGTTCCATTCAAGCGATCGGTTCGTAGTTTGGTCAGTCGGAGGTACTTTATTTCGTGTTCTCGTTTGAAGCTATTATGAAAGAATTTTGTCAAATTCATTGCCCACAACTTTCTTTGACCAGCAGTCTAATCTCATAGTTCCTCACCACATTCGTGTTGTAAGTTTTTGGTTTCGACGATCATAGCTTCATCTCTCTTTAAACAACAGTCTATTGCACTAACGCCGCCATATCGAGCTCCTCTGTCCTCTGCTCAGAGCCCTCCTATTCGCCCCCCTCGACGCCGACGCCCTTCCCCTTGATCTCTTTGCCCACGTCCTACTACACTAGAGTCGTTTCCGGTGTCGCTCATCTCGGCATACTCTCTGTTGTCCTCCTACTGTATTGACACTGCAATGGCGCACACACTGTTTTCTTGTGTCCTCTGCCTCCGTGCACACTGCAGTTCGCCGCGTCGTCGACAAGGTCGATCATCTTGACCTCCTCTCTCTCGCCCTACTACACTAGAGTCGTTTCCGGCGTCGATCATCTTAGCCTCCTCCCTCGTTCACTGCACTGACGATACCATGGTGCGAGCACTGCATTCTCCTCCTCTGTCGACTGGCTTTGCGCGAGCACCGTGACTAGTTCGCCCCGGTGTCGCTCGCCGTGCCGTCGACGGGGTCGCTCGTCCACGACTCCATGCTTGCCATGTCGGACACGGCGCCACGGCCACTAGCCACCGCAGTCGCCATTGTCTGATGCACACTGCATTTCTTCTCCCCTCCCTCTGCTAGCTCTTAACCCTGTGTGCTAAGTGCAAGTGCTAGTTCTTAATCATATCACATGCGGGCAACCAAACACCGTATTCATGTGCCGCTTGGGCTAATGCTGGCAACCAAATAAAGTGCATTTGTGCATTATCTAATGCAGGAATACTATAAGAAGGCAACCAAACAATTTACAAAAATCGCATATGTTGCTGTTTTTCCAGAACCAGACTAGCTGAAGATGAACATGAAATGCAACTACTGTTGCAAACTGGAACCAAACACGCCCGAACTGACTGAACTATCGAGGTCGACGCCGTATGACGCATGGGCTTGGGCATGCCGGACGGGCAGAAGACGGCAGTGCGACACCGCAACGCTCGGGTCCGCGATTCGGATTCGATTTAGGGCCAGTTCTTTTGGGCGATTTTATCAGAATCACCCCTCTTCCCAGCTTCTCCCAGAATCACCACTCCATATGTTTTTTTACAATCCTAACTAATCAGACCTTAACTAGATAGAATTATAAAAAATAAATATAAAGTGACGATTCTGAAAGAAGCTGTGGAGGGGGGCGATTCTGGGAGAATCGCTGAAAAGAACTGGCCCACGCGCGCGGAGGCTTGGGAAGGAAAGATTCTTGCGCCTGAGGCGGAGGGACCCACGCAAAGGATCAAGTGGTCCGGACGGAGCCTTTGGGTCCTGTCCTCTCTCCCTCCGTAACTCGGGGACCCGGGGTGCACCGGTGTAGACCCTCTCCCTACGGTGAGACTGGTCCTTATTTTTTACGGCATGTCTGGTTGCTTTGCTCCAGGCTCGCGACGATTTCTATGTACCCTCCAACATTCTTGTTCCATCAATAACCAAAAAAAAAGTAAGAACAACCCTAGATCCCCGAAAGCACGCACCCTCCAACATTCTTGTTCCAGTAAATCCAGCCATCACGATCCAAGAAACAGCAAGAGCATAGCAGGTCCACATATCTGGCTGTAATTTTCTTTACCGCTAGTGTTGTATGCACTGCCATAATTGATTATGCATAGATCGAAATTCTCTAGAGAAAAAAAAAACTCTAGATTCTTGAAAGCACGCACCCTCTAACATAGTACTCAATCCATTCCTTTATGTAAGGTGTATAATTTTCAGCACAGTGACCAAGGCATATAATTATACACAAGTTAGGACAAAATTAACCCTAGCTAAATCATTTATTAGTGTCAAATAAATCATTTAAGCTAGGAAAGTAAGATATATGCACAATCAGGAGAGAGATCTTTTATCCCTTTACAAAAAGAGATACATGCATCGGGGAAAAGACACTTTCTTTTTTACTAGAGGGCTAAAAACAGATTTTTAAGGAATTGGAAGAAATGCATCTTACATTATGAAATTTTATTAAAAAAATAAATACATCTTATATAAAGGAACGGAGGGACTAATTGCCAATATAAAGGCTCGAGGGTAACAAAACACTCTTAACATTTTTGCCAAAAAAGATAGCACTCTAACAGATTGCCTAAGCACCCTTGTATCCCTAAATTTTTAAAAAAGACATATGAAGGAGCCTTTATACTAGTTGAAGGAGAGAGAAAAAAAATATAAAACACTTTAAAATTGGGATTGCTGGCGCCAATAAACTTTCACGCCAAACCTAGTTCTCCCAACGCCGGTGACAACGTGACCATCCCTTTGGCACCGGCCCCATGCGTCCTCCGTGTTGTTCAGCGTGTAGTCGCTCCCTGATCACCTTACGCCACCACATCCTCCCCTATCACGACATCCAAGTGCTTCACGCCATGTCTCGACGTTGCTCCGTCACCCCGTCTCATCGCACCACCGCCGCCTTCGAGCTACAACCGCGTGCTTAGAGCCTGCCATGCGGCCGTCACCAACCCTCATTCATGGCGTATGATGATGGTGCCCTGACTAAGGGGCCTCTCACCACGGGGGGTCACGGTCTGGTTCCATCCAGGGCCACTTTGGGCGGGCCATGGTGTACCACGCGAAGATTCCAAAAGGCTTGATATGCAAGATAAGAAGCCAAGGTCATGGAGAATTCTACCTCCCCGTATACAGCCGACTAGGATCCATGTACCCTAGGACCTCGAGTATGCTACATAAGCCAGGCACCAGGCTTGTAGATAAACAACTTACAATGGTACCCTCGATGCACTCCAACGCAATAAAACACAACTAGGACGTAGGGTATTATTTCCTCTAGAGAGCCTGAATCTCCTCGTCTTTGTTACCATCGCGCCAAGTAGCCTAGTTTAGGATACACTACCGAGGGATCTATTGGATTTAGTTTTGATAGTTGTGGCCCATGCAGGTCCTACTAGGTGAACACCACGGTGCGATGGAGTGCAAATGAACGCTCAAATTGGTTCCATCGCGATCATCGCGCTTGGCCCAGATGTTCGTCTTCGGCAACATCACCCTTGTCGCCAACTTAACTAGCTACCTTGGCCAAGTCGAAGCCTTCGCTCTAGGCTTGA